AATTGAAAATATTTTAGAGGAATTTAGTTAAATTTTGGAGAAAATAAAAAAAATTTTTTTGGAAAATTTTAAATTTTTAAGAATTTTTAAATTTAATTTGAAAAAGAAATAGATCATTCTTCAGACTTCAACAAAATATGGCGCTTTCAGTAAGAAATTTTACAATCTTTTCCAAAGTAATAAAGAAGTGGTTGAAAAGCTTGGTTAATAGAACTAATTGGTGAATACAATCATGAAGATGTTGCTACTTGCTTACAATATAAATTTCAAATGTTTAATATTCAAATTGCAATAATTAATGTAAGCGTCTGTAAATTGTATTTACGAAAATTATTAGACTAAGTCTTCATGTTTTCCTCCTTAATGAGACCATTCTAAAATATTAAAATTCGAATTCTATAATGCAATTTAATTTTATAATAATTAAAGAATTCAAAAACTTTTTATAAGAATTTTTTACTTAAAAAATGTACATTTGCTATATACACTATTTACTTATAAAAAGAACATTGTCGTACTAAAAGACAATAACAGAGTAAAATGTAAATTAAAATTTGCTATTTTCAAAAATCCAATTATTATCAGATAAATAAAATAATTTGATAACAAATTGTTATTGAAGAAGTTCGTAAAACTTTTGAATATTACTGAATTCTAAGAGTTGTTTGATTTTGTCTGTATGATTAAAAGTTTTCCGCGAAATTACTTTTGTTGCTTCAATGAATTCTGGGATACTTGTATATCGTAAAACCCTGTACTTTTACAGTACATTCGGCAAATATTTTAGAGCGTTTGAAAAGGTGAAAGAAAAAAGTAAAGTAATTTTTTGCTACATTAACTGAAATAAAAATTTTTCAAATTACATTTTGAAAATTCAAAGTTCATAAGTAATCACTCATAATATTATCTCAGACGCATCACTTGAGATAATTAAATACTATTCCAAAAGTATTGATGTTTTTAAGATTTTTATATTTTTAAAAATAAATTTATTTTGAAAATTTCTAAAATTTTGAATTCACCCCAAGTGATATGTCTAAGAGAGATTTGACGAGTAAGATTAAAGTAAGAAAGATTCACTTTTAAAGATATGAATTAGAAATATTCTTTTATAATTTTTTATATATATGTAAAATTTAGAATTCTTGTATATATAAATATTTTTTTATATAATATCATAATAGTTTCATTTGAATTTATTTTTTATTACAATAATTTTATACCATTTAAAAATGCATTTCTACTATAATTAGTTTTTTTTTTTAGTAATTCAAAAAATTTATTTTGTAAGGTAAACTACCATAAGACAATTTTAATTAATTTAGCATTAATTTTTATATAGTATAGTAAAAGATATAGAAAGATTTTATTAATTTGGTTACTAAGGCAAAAATATTTTTAAATATATTAAAGATATAGTTTTGTATTTCGATTATAATAACAATAGAATAACATACGATATTTTTTTTTTCTTTTTTGGTATTTCGCCATTTTATTTAAAATAAAAAATAGAATTCGCAAAATTTCGATCGATCAATTATATTTTTTTTTGGTATATAGTATACATTACATATTTACATTATGTATGTATATATAAATATTAAATTTAAATATGTTTTTCGTATTATAAAGCTCTAGTTTTTTTAGATTTGAAAAAAAAAAAACAATATGTGAAAATTCAGCTAGAAAGAAAGAATTTTTTTTTCTTTTCTTTTTAAATGTATATAAAAAAGTTTAAACTTGTTAAAAGAATATTGTTTGAGAGGCATTTTAAAATATGTTTTAAATTTTTTATTTTTAAGAAACTGTTCCTATTTAGAAATTCAACATTAATATTATAAACTTTGGAAAAATTATTGTTCACCGGAAAATTTTAAACTTTTTTCTGTTAAACATTTTCAAATGTAGTTTTATAAAAGTTTTCATTCAGAAATAAAAGGTTGTAAAAGATAAAACCAATTTAATTTTTAAATTTTGAAAATAAATGCAAAAACTCATAATAGTTGTGGTTGAATTCAAATTAAAATTCAAGTCACCATATTTGTTTTACGATGACAAATTTACATTACAAATATTTTTGCATTCAAATAAATATATAGTAGAATGACATAGATCTTATCGTAAATTGAAGTTTATCAAGCAGCATAAATTCGAGAATTGGAATGCCAACATTAAAATTAGTTATAATTATAAACATTTTGGTTTGTATAAGCTCAAAATTATAGTTTATTTCGACCACATTGTTAATTTTCTACAAAACTTTCAACGCATTCATATTGTGAATTAAAAAAATATAACATGAATATTTCTTTAATTCACAATGTGAATGTCAAATGTACACGTTCATTTGAAGTAAAATGAATTTTTTGATTGTTGAAAATTTCTTTTGTTTTCTTTTAATATTTCAAAAGTATATAAAATTAATTTAAATTTCGTTATTTATGGAATGTTATCCATTTTCTTATATGCTTATATACGAGTTTTAAAAAAAAAGTTTATTTTATATATGGGCGTGCATTCAAAGTAGTATAACTTTATTTTTTGCGACAATTGTAATATAATTCTACAAATAAGATGTAAAACAAAAATTGTATTCTTTCTTCTGTAAAAATATTGTAGTTCAAATCGTGAACCTTTTCAAAAAGCAAGTTAGCAAAAAGAGTACAACTAAACTTCAATAAATCAAGTAAGGCAATCAAAAACTTGTAAGTCGCATGTTAAAATTTATGTTGTTTATACACGTATAAGTACCAGACTTATACTGACATGATCAAAAGCAGGTTGTAACTATAATATTTGCATTGTGACTTGTACTCATTTTATTATAAAATTATCTTAAATGTAACAGAAAACATCTGAAAATAAAACTGAATGAAAATTATAATAAATCTTTTGAGTCAAATGTTGGTAAGTCCTTATTTATCTAAAAATTTAAATATTTAGCAAAACCTACTACTGCAGCTTTAGAGATATCAAAAAAAACATGGATTTTTTGCACTAGTTGATCAAAATAAAAAAATTTTTTGCACTTATGCTTCTTTGAATGCAGGCCGTTCTTCTTTACTTTTCTGTTTTGTTTTTTTGTAAATCACAATCCAATCAAACTAATTTATTCTCACTTACATATTACATAAATCTATCTGCTATAAAAATTCAAATTTTATTATTATTATCAATTTAAAATAATTTACATTGCAATTCACTCAATATCAAATCCGATTTCGAATTAAAAATATTGTTTGTGTAGTTTTTAAAAAGCGCAATTAAAAGTTTTAATACTTTTTTATAGAATAAATTTTTTTCTTTTTTCTGAAAAACTATGTATGAGTTTGAAAACAAAAAAAGTTTGAACTTTTCCCTTCATATTGATAACAAAAAATTTGAATTTATTTTTATTTTTACTCTCAAATTAATGAATGTCGGTCATATGTTGTTCAACATAATAATGAAATACTGCTTTCACTTTTTAACTCAAATTTTCATAGATATGTGAACACTTTACCAACTTACTTACATGTAAAATAGTTTATGAGTATTGTGAATGATATTTTTATTTGAAAAATTAATTTGAAAACTTTTTTTAAACTTGAAGAACTTTACCAATTATAAAAAATATTTTTAAATTAGTTGTCTTCTTTGTTTAGCAACATTGTAACTAAAATTTAAAGTTCAAATAGTTTTATGTATTTTTTGATTTTTGTTTTTATTAATACTATTTTTCAATTTATAAATTTTTTTCAATATAAAAATATAAAATTACTTGAATTAATCAAAATAAAAATTTGAAGTTTATCCATCATATTTAAAATGATTAAAATTTTTAAAATTTTGAAATGAAATTTTCAATTATATGAAAAGTTATTAGAGTTTATGTTTTACGTTTTAAATATCTCTCCATGGTTATAAAATCTCTCCGTAAAATTTACATATGTTTTCGTTAGTGCCAAATAGATGTCACTTCTATGACTATGATTGATTGACCACTGTTATGTCAAACTAAATTCATTTAGTGTAAAAATTTGAAAATAGTAAAAAATGTTTAATATTTTTCTCTTATAACATAATTTTAAAAAATGTTATAAAATTTTCATTAAAAAACACAAAATGTAAAATAAAATGTTTCTACAATTTTTTTAAGTTTTCAAAATTTCAATATATAGATTCGACGTGTATGGAAATTGACTTTAAAAATTGAATTAAATCTATTCTATAAATACAGGGACCCTTAAAAAAACAATTAAAGTAAGTATTCATTAATTCAAAATCCCATATATAGTTTGTTCATAATATTAAAATCAAATAATATTAATAATAATAAAATTTTTTTTTAATAATAATGGCGTGCTTTCGTATAATACGGTATACGATAAAAAGATCATTTTTATAATTCCTTAATTAAAAATTAATCTTATGTATAAAATTAAATTATTTTTAAGCTTCTAATCTTCAAAATGAAAGCTATGCTTCCTTTTTTTTTGCAAAATTTAAAAATTAGATTTTTAAGCTAAATTTATGTGCAATACAAAAAAAAATTTTTTTTTGTTAGTGTGTCATTTGTTTTCTTGCTCAATTATTGTTATTAAAATATTGTTTGCCTTAATCTTTTTGTTTTATTTTTGGAAAACATTATTATTAAGACAGTTTATTAAATATTGAATTTCACAAAATTATCTATCTCATCTATGAAAAAAAAATGTGTTTATTATAGCATTTTCAACTTTATTGTTAAATTGATATACGGTAACACTACATTTAGATTTTTTATTTTTATATTTCTAAATGATTATTTTAATTTAAGGTGAAATTTTAATATTATTTTTAATTTTCTATTTTTTTAAATTCTATAAAACTCTAAAATTTTTATCATATCACAAATCTATAAATGTATGTGTATATAAGTTATAAATTGTAACTTAAGATTAATAATACAAGTTTTTGATTTAATGAAAAACTCAATTCAAAATAATGCGAAAACAAATTTAGAAAGCACTTGGAAAATTATTCATAAAATTTCATATTTAAAAATTAAAAATAATCCAATTTATTTTGAATCATAAGAAGAATGATCATATACGAAACGAACTCAATAAAAATATGAATATTCAAAAAATACTTGAGTAGTATTGAGCAAGAATGAGAAATTATTATAAGATGGAAAATTCTGAGCCGGAATTTACGATGGAACGAGTATATTTTCATTGTTATAATGTCAAAATTAATTTGCAAATTGAATCTTTAATTTGCAGCAGTTATTGGCTTTGAGAAGAAGGTTTCAGGTCACAGCTAAAAGGAAAATCTACTTGATAGAAATCAGAATTGTGATCGAATGAAATTGTATGGTAAAATTTAATTCACGTAGTTCAGAATGCTAGAAAACCGGAGAAGTAAAAATATTCACAAAATGGAATAAGAATTATTTGTTAAGTTAATGAGCTCTTAAACAGATGTATTTAATGTAATAGTTCGTTTATTTATTGAATAGTTCCCAAAAATTTTAGTTCAATCTTTTAAAATCCTTGTTCGTATTATAACCTCCTTATGATTGTCTTGGATCATCTCACAAAAAATTGTAAAAAAAAAAAACAAATATATTGTTGATAGATTTTACTATTAAAATCTTAAATGCTATTAGTGCCTCATATTGTTATAGTATTGATTTTTAGGATTTCGAATTAGTCGTATTTATGTTATTTATTGTTTTTTTATGCAAATTTTTTGTTATTTCTTTTATGATATTGTTATTTACAAAAATATTAAATTTTAGCTATGTTCGGTCATCATTAAACTTAATTGTAAAATTCCTTTGCAATAGTGTATTAAATCTCCTGAACCCCAAGCGACTATTACCGAACGGTGTATGATATGTTGTGGTGGTTGTTGTAACCGCAACCGTTGGCATTTCGGTTGGGGCCAGGAGCAATCCTCACGTTTTAACAAATTTATAAACTATTAAAAATACCAAAAAGCTAACCATAACTAAAACAATAGCAGTAATAACTTTTGCAAATGTATTTAAACCAGATTCATTTGGATTTAATGGTCTTGTAGTACTTTGAGTATTTGAACGACGTCTTTTAGTTGCTAAACCGCGTGCTAATGCTGGAAATGCTAATGATTGTGTAAAAGTTAATTTATGTATAGATTCACTAAGTGAATATGGTCCAACGGAGCCTCTAGCAGCTGCTCTCAATAGAGCATATTCTAAATCTAAGGCATCAAATAATGAATAACGTGCTGTCATAGTTGAAGATCTACGACGTTCCAAATTATGACGATGATTTGACGAACGTTGTTCACGATCTGATTGCGGTTGTAACCATGGATCCGAAACACGTTGTGTTGGTGTTGTACCTAAACTAACTGCAGCAACTGATGTCAATGATGATGTTGTACTAGAACTTGCTGTACATAAACCAATACCAGTTATGCCAGAACCAGGTAAACCACCATTATTATTAAATTCCGTCATATCTTCCAAAGAAGTTTGGTCTGGTGATGTTAAAGCATGTTGATGTTGTTGTTGCATTTGCATTCGTAATGCAAATAAACGAGCATGATCCGGATGTAAAAGTGCACTTGATTTCCTTCGAGCATTTGACAAATTTGGTGAACCAGCTGTTGGAGTTGTTGATGGAGAAGCACTTGCAGATATTGTTGCACCTGGCGGACAAGGCAGTGCATTCGGGGATGGGGATGCCTGTACAGATTCAATACCAGAATCTCCAGCATGTAATGTATCACAGTATAGAGAATGTCGACGTTTACTACTATTGTTATTACTACCACTTAAATTATTACTACTATTTGGTTGTTTTGCTGATATTGTGGCTGCTGTTTGGTGACTTGTATCACTACTACTTGTACCAGCATCATTACTACTTGTTATTGAATTAAGTTGCTGATTGCATTGTGTATCTTCAGTTATTGCTGGGAAAATAAAGCTCGAACCATCCGCTTCTCCACGTGGAGAATCCTACAGTATTTTAAAAAAAAAAAAAATATCTACAATTAAAATATCTTACTTATTTAATAATTAAATATTTACCTGACTTGGCCAAACTTGTAGTAAAGGCAAAGAACATGTTGGTTTAGAGTTTAACTGCTGCTGAGATTGTGTAGTATGATATTTATTATCATCACTACAGCCAACACCCAATGGATCATTGATGAAAGGGATAATTCGTGTAGGACTTTCGTATCCGGTCGAGTCCTCTGATGATGTTGTTTTTGGCGAACGCCAAAATCTTTTTAGACGCAATTCGCGTCTTTTTTCTTGCTTCTGAAAAGAAATGTGTAGAGAAAATAAATTAGTCTATTATTTTTTTCGTTTTACGTTGTAACTATTTAACATTATATATGTATTTAATTCTTAATTTTCTTTAGAGATGGTAAAACAATAAGCCTCCGCATCGTCTCATAAGAAAATATCCTTATAAGAAAATTCCGTCTTATAAGAAAATTCTAATTTAAAATCAATTCACTGAATCATGTTTATTATAAAATCTTAAGTGAAAGTTCAATTTATTATCCTATCATCATTACCACTATTCTACTTTTATAAATATGTTTTGTCATACTTTTTACATTTTATGTGAATGTCAAATGCATTAAGAACAGTTATGAACCCTAAATAATTATTTTAAATGACCTGAAAATGACTTGTGAAATGCATTTCATTGTCTTTCACATATTTTTTTATACCCGTACGAACGTATGTTCGAAGGGTATACTAAATTTGCCTTACCGTTTGTAACGCTAAGAAATAACGGTGTTAGATATAGACTCAAGTGTATGTTTTTGATCAGCGTCAAATTCTGAGTTGATTTAGCTTTGTCTGTCCGTCCGTCCGTCCGTCCGTCCGTCCGTCCGTCCGTCCGTCCGTCCGTCCGAACGATAACTCAAAAACTAATTGAGCTAAGTTGACCAAATTTTCACAAATGATTTATTGTAGTAAGTGCCAGAACCCTATTTAAATTGGGCATGATCGGGGTTCCGGTTCGGGTAGCTGCCATACAACTTCAAAATTTATTTGGCTATATCTCAAAAACTATAAAAGCTGTGATATTGAGATTTCACACAAGTGAATATATTAGTAGGGCCGATGTGTCTGGTAAAAGTCGTTGAAATTACTTGGCTCCTTCTGGTACCTGCCATACAACTTCAAAAGTTATTTAGCTATATCTCAGAAACTATTAAAGTTATGGTATTGAAATTTCACACAAACGAATATATTAGTAGGGCCAATATGCCACATAAAAGTCGTTGAAATTACTTGGTTCCTTCTGGTACCTGCCATACAACTTCAAAAGTTATTTAGCTATATCTCAGAAACTATTAAAGTTATGGTATTGAAATTTCACACAAACGAATATATTAGTAGGGCCAATATGCCACATAAAAGTCGTTGAAATTACTTGGCTTCTTCTGGTACCTGCCATACAACTTCAAAAGTTATTTGACTATATCTCAGAAACTATAAAAGCTGTGATATTGAGATTTCACAAAAGTGAGTATATTAGTAGGGCCGATGTGCTTGATAAAATTTGCTAAAATTTCTTGGCTCTTTCTGCTAGCTGCCATACAACATCAGTAGTAGTTTGGCACAACCAGTATTTTGAATAACACATAGTACTGAAATTTTGCATAAATTAATATGGTAATACGGCAACTTAAAGTCATAGTCTGCCCCATAGTTAGTTATGGCACATTAGTTATTCGCACATAGGATAACAAATTCGTACGGGTATCACAGAGTTGACAAGGTCAACTCTATTATTTTTTTTCATTATTGTCATCAACGTTAGTATTGTATATGAAATTAATATTGCACTTACTCATACTCGTATAACAACTGAATATATTAGACTCATGAAAAAAAAGTTATGGTTCCAAACAGAATGAAAAATTTCTGTAATTAGTGACAAAAGTATTCATCATTTAAAACTAAAACTTTTATTAAAATCTTAATAGCCAACAGCTGACATTTCAAATAAATAATTTTTTTTTTGTCATTTTCTATATTCCAAAAATTATTTTTAATTTTTTTCATAATTTTCTCTATGAGGTGATTTTAATTTTCATATTTAACTTATTATTATTCATAAAGAGAAGAAAAGATTAAAATTTCATAATTTTATGAAAAAACAAATTGAAAACTTAGACTTGTGTCACGTGTGTTTAATCAGCTATGATGGACGATTCAATAAATTTGTTTATACTGAAATTCTGAAATTAGCAATTTATGAATATTTTTAAAATGAAAATGGATTTTAAAACAAAAAGTTTGTAAGTTTTTGTAATTTTATCAAAAATGTAAACTTGAAAGAGTTTAAAAACTCTTTCAAGATGGCTTTTTTTGAATAGGTTTTTGTCAGTTAAAAATACCTAACAAAAATAAACTAAACAATTATTTTGATAGACACTTCAACCTGACAAAGAACTATTTAAAAATTGCCTCGTCACTCTTGGATTATATTTTTATTATTTGGAGAAACTGACGGTCATTATAGATAAATCAAAAAAAAATTTCACTGTGGAAAGGGATTTTTCTGATTTTAAGACATCTTTAAAATTGTACAAAAAACAATTTTTTTGTATGCTAAAAATCGTCGTGGTGGCAGCAAATATTTTAATAATTTTCTTTGTGGCCTTTGTTGACAGTAACGTTTCAGGTCATTTTAACTCACGTGGCAGTGAGAATGTTAGAAAAGAGTTAGAGAAGAGTGGGAAAGAGTAGAGAAGACATTAGAAATGAAATTTCTAATCTCTTCTCTAAACACTCTCATAGTTTTGTTATAAATAGAATTGTTTTGTAAAAACAGAAGGAGGCGCAATTAAACGAACTGATAGAATGCAATTAAGAAGCATATTTCTTTTCCTAATTTTGTTTGAGATATTTTTAAGATTATTTTCAAAATCTTCAAAATTATATAATTGTTGAATGTCATTTTTTTACATATCCTAACATTTCCACCTACTTGAACACTTTATTCATGTAAACAATGCTTTGAAATAAGAAGATTTTTTAAAAAATTTTCAAAAATCTGAAGCACAATAAATCAAGTTCTTAAATTTTATGAGTGAAATTCATATCAACATAATTTTGTTTTTCAATTTTCTATTAAAATACTAGAAACTTAAAAAATAAACATAAAAGTTTCGCAAAAAGAAACGGTTTGTTTTAATATTCAAATTGATTATGGAGAATTTAGCAATAAGGTACAGAAATAGCTATAATCTCAGATCTTCCATAAATGTAGAATGTTGCTCTGCGGTAGTATTGTGTATTTTTCTCTTTTCAGTTAAAATATTTACGGAAACAAATAATATTAAATGTGTCAGTATATTTATTTCGGATGGCATTATTTAATCCCCTATTCGTTAGCTACATTAAAGTACTAGAATATTTTTAATTTTCAAAAGGAATACTATATTATTGTGAAGCATTAATATTGCATAACTTTAGATATTGCCATCCGATTTTGTTTTTTATATGTGACTCTTACATAGAGTCGCCATTGGTTGAAAAGTCTAATACACATAATTTAATATTAACACTGTTTGACTCTTAATTTATAACGTATCTTCAATTATGAGTTCAAATATTTCGACCTTATTTTTCAAAAAAAAAAAAAATTAAAAATGTTAAGAATGAATATTTTGGCAGAATTTAAAATTATAATTGAATATTATGTATGTATGATTCAAAGCTTGATTACAAATTAATTCTAGCATTTTTCTTTTTGTATTATAATCTAATGAAAATTTGTCAAAATTTCTCAAATTAACAAAATTTTCTTTCATTATTGAATATTTATAGTACATGTATAGACTATGTATGAACATATGTATAGGTCAATATATATGTATAGGTCATTTATGTATGTATATTTGATGTGTGTTCGAAAACTATACATTCATTATTTATTCAAATGAAAAAATTTCTTAATATCCTTTTCAAAAAATATATAAAAATATTTACCTGATATGTTGTGTATCCTTTATTATTTTGTGCATAAGTCTATGTACATATAGATATACTCGTATATAGAAACATAAATTTTCAAATAAATTGAATACAAAATGTTATTAGTCCTGAAGCAGCAGATTGAAGTCTTTTCAAGGAATCATATAATATGAAGCTGCACATATACACACATATATGTATAGACATTTAAAGAACTGATGATGTTTTCAACAAAAATAATTTTATGATGTTGATTTAGTTTGATATTGATATTTTATAAACATACAAACATCTAGTTTTGAACTTTAATATAAAAATTTCTCTTACGATAGCATTTTGAACTTTTGAATGCTTTGACCATATGGAGGGTTTATTTTGCATAATATTATTTATGTGGGTATAAATTTGTATATATATTTATGTTATTTGGATTTTAGCCAAAAAATTTATATGCCTCGTCGAATAAAATTGTTTCTTAATGATTTTTGTTTTATGGATGATTTTGTTCAAAACTATTTAAATGGAAAACTTTTTACATATTTAAAATTTTTGAACTTATTCAACTGTGTTTGTTTCTTTGTAGGATTTTCAATGATTTATTGTTGAATATCACCTTTGAAATTTTTGTTTAGGTTAGTTAATAGCCATTAAATGGTGTAGGACAACATAATATTTTCTTTATCTTTTACTATAACCTACTAAATTTTTTGTTAAAGAAAATATTTTATATAACATATGTTTTATGAATTGTATGTAATAGTAATCATTAATCTTTGAAAAAATATTTGCATATGGAAATTTGGATGGTGAGCAATTAATAACATTTTACAGAATGATATCGTATTGTGGTTAGAAAAGTTCATTAGGAAAAAACGAATGTTGCCTGTTGCTGGTGCGTTTTTTAAAAAACAATTACGAATTCTAATAAATCTATTTGTATCAATTTGAGCGAAAGGATTGCAAAAGATTGTGAAACTGATAATGTTTCTAATGCACTTTTTTTTAATATTTTGAGAAAATCAATAATTTTTTTTTTGATATTTATAAGATATGGCCAAAATCGCTATTAAATTCAATATTTAAAATTTATTTAATACCCTTTTTAATTAAATAAGTGCACACAGGAGAATTTATTAAATATATGCACAATATATTGTATGGATGTCTGCAAAAACGAAAGCATTCCAGAAATATTTCAATTAATCATCACGTGGAAGACATTTAAAAAATTAGTATAAACTATATTATAAAGGACAATATGGAACTTCAGAGAAAATTGAGTTAAATTTAAATGGAAATATGCCAGAAAATTGACAGTAAACAAAATTTTCGAGATATTTTATGTAGCCACATAATTAAGTAAAAAATCTGATGAAGTTCTAATAGTTTAATAATATTCCTATATTTAGTTAGACAAAATGCTATGAAATTGTTATGGAACCCTTTTGAATAACTTTTGACAATTATATAACACTGCGTACGGGACAAATGTGTCAAGCCAAATGAACAAATTAAACCATTTAAAACGCGTTTTTATTGTATTTTGTTCTGCAATAATAGAAAAGATTTTGTCTCTATTATCGTACATTTTTAGTAATTTTTAACATAATTGATAAATTATTGAATTTGCAAATTCAACAAGAATATTAAAAAAAACCAAATTTATTTTTAAACCAAAAAATTCTAAAAGGAAATTTAAAAGTTTTCTATAAAATAAATTCATAAATTTTTGGAAGAGTGCCAAAATATTTGAAGAAACTTATAAAAGAATTTTCTAAAATGACTTAAAAAAAATGAAGTTTTCATAAAGTGAACTTTTTCATTTTTTCAAAATGAAAATAATTTAGCTTAAATGCTAATATTGAAATTTTCTGTAAGATTTACTCTCCTTTATATGGAAGCAACTTAAAAGAATATTAGATGACTTTTTTCAATTTTATGAATAAACATAAGAAAGAATAAAATGGTAGAAAGCTGAATAAAGAAAATTTGTTTAAAAAAAGATGGAAAAAGAAAATTGTTTGGGTTAAAAGTCAAACTAATATTAATAATATAGATTTCTCTATCGTGACTCTCTATTTTATAAATCTGTTAAGATTTTTGACTAATTCATATATACATACAAACTATTATACGGCATGAATTGAACGTTTTTCATTGTTAAATTTTTCAATATTTGCAAAATTTATATTAAATTTATTATTTAAAACTTTAGGAAAAATTTTAAAAAGAATTGCTATTTTTTATTTAGAATACGAAATTGATTAATATAAAATATGTGAGAATTAAATCATATCCTAGAAATTCATTGTTTTTCGTAGAGAAAAATTTCGTTAAAAATTGTGAAATATTTTATTGTCAACACGTGTTTAGTTCTTAAATTACAGATTTAGTTGTTATGTTTTACTGCTTTATAAAAATTTTGGATTTAATACAAAAATTCTTTATATTCGATTTCGGAACTAATCGAAATACCATATGGATATTAAAATAGAATTTTAAATTATGGAGAAATTGAATTTTTAATTTGTAAAATTTATAAAACTTTGAATGATTAAAAATTTTGCTTAAAAATAAATCTTAAATTGGAAAATGGATAAATTTTTGTTATGAAAATTAAAATCCTGAATTATCTTCTCCTCATAAAATAGTTTCTTTTATAATTTAAAAATAGTTTCTCTTAATATTTTTAAATTTTTTAATAATTTCACGTAATTTTAACTAATTTAATACTTTTTGTTTTTCTCTCCCATCAATCATTGTGACATTTAATATAATAATAAATTGCGGTCATTTCATTGTCAAAACTGTCAAAAAAATTATGTTATCAATCGTACACAATTTTTTACTCTATTTTTCGCCATTTTAATAAAAAACTAATGAGGTTGTCTAAAAATAATAATAAATTTTTTATTTATAATCACCAACATTTTTCATAAAAAAAAAATTGTATTTCACCTTCAATAATGATGACTATTAAATTTGATAAAACTAAAATAACATTTTTTCTTTTTTAATAATTTCATAGTATAATATAAAATGAAAAATTATAAATGACCCTTATAAACCGTCAAATATACACCATCCAATTCAAGGCTAACAAAAAAGAAAAAAAAATATTTAGAATAAAACAAAAAGTTATTAAAAAACACCTGAATAACACACCACACTCTCCTTCTCTCTTTAATCTCTTAAATGATTTCACCATTAATTTGCATTAAAAAACACTGGTAGAAATGAAATAAAGTTGGGTCAAAACAACGGTCTGTAAAGAAACACTTTTTCGTTAAGTAACTGAAAATTCTGCGCTTAAAAACGAATAAAATGTAAAATTTTTCAAATAATTGCATATACTTAGGCTAAATCAAGAAATATAATTGAGAGAGGCATTAACATAATTGTGAATAATTATATTTAATTAAATAATTACGTAATTTACCGTTAGCTGTCTGCATTTACAGAAATTTGGAAAAGTCTGCAGTTTCGGAAATATAAGGTGCCGAAAAATATTTAAGAACTTCTATCGGTGGTAACTTGAGAGGGAATGGTGATGTAAAAAAAGTTTCTTCAAACAATTTTTTAATATCCAATGGCCGCTAAAATTTCAGACACCCATAATTTATAGTTTGAAATAAAAACGATATAAAAATATAACGAAAAAACTGGGTTTCAGATAACGAATAATTTCATCGGCCATTTTGTCATTTCCATGCGCAACTATGCCATATTACGGTAGAAAGCCACTTTTTTTTTGCGTTTGTAGAATTAAAAAAATATTTGTGGTTTGATTACAATAAATAATAAAACCTGGCACTTTTAAGACTTTGAGAGCCTATCGATTTTTACTACAAAAATAAGTTTCTAGTAAAGATCTGCTTATAGATAAAATTTCAGCTGTCTATCTTAAAACGGGTACACGGACGGGCGGACTGAGTGAAACTACTTATTCTTTGCAAATATTTTTTTAAATATGCTAAAAAAGAAAGTAGCAATATTGAAAATAATAACGTAAATTTGACCGAAAAAGTATATTGAGAAAAGAAATTTTATATTCAATGTACGAGGGGAAGAAAAAGAAGTAAAAAACAGGTGAAATAAATGTTAAAAAGACTAAGTATTTCAATTTCCAACTGTTGTTTTTAGTTGATATTAGTAGAAGACAAAAGATATACAAAATTGTATTTAATTTGGTCAAGTGTATAACAATAACGTATAAAATTAAATTTAAGTTGAAACAAAATGAAGAACCTAAGAAATGGTAGGGTAGTTGAGCTAAATAAACGCTAATGTGCAAAAAAGCAAACTTTGTAATCGCGTTTTATAGGGAAAAAATTACCTTTAGTTTTTAGAAAATTATTTTCAATATTTTTTTAAAGTATAATTCTTTTGAATATTACTATTTAAGTGCTATATTATCCTACCCTTAGTGTAATTTAAGCTTGAATAGATTTCTACGAAAAAGAAAATTTGAGTAATTTTACATCATTATAATAAACTTTTCCTTAAATTAAATTATATAATATTGTATTTCGATCCAGATAATCTTTAAATTAAATGAAAACGATTAAAATATAATTGAGTTTATGTACGTTAAAGACAATCGATATTTTATCCTCATTACCTAGAATGTTACTTTTTAAATCTTATGGATCAGAGAATTATTCAATTAAAATTTTAGTAATGTGTGAGTAATTATAGGAATATAAGTAAGTAATTATAGGAATTTATACGATTTTTCTTGTGTGCCTAGTTTTTTGGTTCAAAAACTTAATTTTAAATTAGCTCAAGACTACTAGTACCCGAGGTAGTTTCTAAAATTAAAGAAATCATTTTTAAAGATTTAAAATGGGTTTAAAAAATTTGAAGAACACTATTATTTTATAAAACAGAAAGCAAAAATTGTGGCTGAAATTATACACTCTTTGACATACTATGAGTATTGTATGAACTTGTACAAGTTCAATGGTACCTTATACAAAAAATATAATTTTATAGTTTCGAGTATGGAAATTCTAAAATTTTCAAGAAAAAAATATTAAATAAAAAGTATTTATTAAAAAATATTTTACCTGCATTTTTTTCAATCCTTTTTAGTGTTCTCATCCCCAGTTTTGACGATATTATTTTCTATATACTTTGTTGATTTACAAGCCCAATAATTTCAGGTTCTTGAAAAATATTCAATCTACAAAGAAACAAGAATAAAGTAAAAAAATTTGAATGTATGTATAAAATATTTGCATGCAAGTGAGTATATTAATTAAGTTATATGGGTACATAGATTTATTTTCCACAATATATACAAAAATACATAAGTAAAAAATATATGTAATATTTTAGGCTCTTAGAGAATTTCTGTCAGAGAATTTATTGATTGAATAATCCCTTACAACTGTAGTTAGGCCGGTATTTAAAAATTAAATAATTTATAAAAGAATGTAAAATAAGATATATATGAGTGTATGTATTAATATATATGTATACACCATGTATGTGGAAATGAAACTTTCAAATTCTTATTTAATATCCTTATAAATTTACTTGTTTTGTAGTTAAAGGTGATAAAGAAGGAAAAACTAAAATATTTGTGATCACAATATTTTACTTAATTTAAAATTATGCATAAATTGCTATATAGTACAATCATATATTAATATATGCAGTTTATATAAGAACATAATTTTATTCTGAATACAATAATTATTTGGAAAATATTGTCCATTCAAATATCTTCGCGTTATAGAGTAAATTTAATGGGTAATAACGCAAAAATTCGACCATTGATAAATAATTTATGAGATAGTACATTTTAAAAATATAAATTGTAAAATTATGTACAGGGTTTCCGAGAATCGAAGGAGTTTCCGAAGCAGAATGGTAAAATGACTACATACGAACAAAAAATACCTTCTCGAGTTATGAGAAAAATACCGCTAGAAGGGGAATTTAATGAGCATAAACAATGTAAACTTTACCTGTCATACATAATATTATATCCCGAGTTATCACTAAAAATGTGAACATTAAACGATTTTTAAAAATTCAAACTTTGAGTATCTATAACACGAGAACGGGGGCCCAAAAAGTAAAATATCGCTCAGTGTTCTTTGTCGTTCGAAGTTATTCACCTTACTTTGTCGGTCCATTAAGTCTTGAACACTCTGTATTTACCTAATTACTCATTAATAATATTTTAGAAGTAAAACTTTCCAAGATGTATTTTAGATTCTGATTTTAAATTATTAAATTTTAAAATAATTCTCATGAATTTAGATAGAAAGTAATTACACAAAGGGTAAAGTTTATACTATAAAGCTTATTAAAATTAAAAAAGAAAATTTAAATTAAAGTTAATGAATCTACAAATTTTTAAATATTTAGAATTTATTCCAGGTATTAGACAGCAACTCAACGTATTCTAGTAAAATTTGTAATCAATAAACGAAGCGTTAAATTATGAAAAGGATCTGGGAAAAAATTTCCAATACAAAGAATTTTCATTCGAATGAAAATCAAATATTAATTTGAAAATAAAGTTTTCCATTTAAAATAATTCTTTTTTTGTCCTTTCATCAGAAAATTTCAAATACAAAAAATTATTTTTCCAAAATACTACAATAAACGTTTTTTTTTTTTTTGTTGAAATGGAAAACTTTGAAAAGAAAATTAATTATAAACAAAAGTTTTATAATGTGAAGGATTTTCATTTTAAAATTTATTCTTTTGAATAATTTTAATTTGGATTTTTAATATATACATACTTACATAATTATTGTATATAGGTGTATAAAATAAAATTATTAATGGATTGGGAGCTTTTTTTATTTAAAATAGAAAACAGTTATATTTATTAATAACAACACTATTTATATAAGAATTATTAACGAGCCATTGTAAATCTTAAAATGGCGATTTTTTTTAAAAGAATTTTGAATTTAAGAAAATATTTTTAAAGATTGAGCTTTCTTTGGCGTGAAAGGATTTTATGTGAATTATTGTGATTGATATTTAAGATTAAAAAAAATATGAGAGTCAGGATTTTATAATTAAAGAAAATGAAAAATTAAATATAATTTGACTGACAGAATGACAGCTTTAAAATTCTGCATTTAATTTGAAATTTTTATATTTGTATTAAGAAATTTTGTTCTTGCATCAGAATAGTTGCTTGCGAATAAGCTAGTTTTATATTTTATAATGGTGTTATAAAAGCCATAACAGTGTGCTAATGCTGAAAAACTGTTTAAAATCGAATCAATAATTAATGGCATCGTTAAAATAATTTTATTTAATTTAACAAACCCTTAAATTGCAATATGGGAATCAAAACTTCTCTTAACTCAAATCAGGGGATAGCGAAAATAATTGTACAATTATTAGGATATAAAATACCCTATCAAAATTAAATCAGGAATTATTTATTTAGCATATTTTTTCGTTTTATTGGGGATTCCTGAAATTTTTCTCTACAAAATGTGCTCCATACCTGACACATATTTTATATTCTATAATTAATGTAAATTCTTAAATGCTACGCATAACTCAAATATCTAGATTATAATTGACGTACACGTAATATTCAATTAAATTTAATTTTAAAAAATAATTCTTTTGAGATACTTAACTGCTCAATTAATTTTCCTACTGTACACATAAAAATAAATTTAATTTATTCTTAATTCAAAATTATTATATAAGAAGAATTGTCGTGCTGCTATATGTTCTGTTTTTAATTATAGAATCACAAGTTTTGTGAATTAATATCAAAAAATTAAAATTATTAAAAAGTAAATATTAAAACGAGAATAGGTATATAGGGTTGACCGTGTTCACTCTGTTACAGCCCGCACGTGCCTCACTGTTTTACACGTACTCCAGATTTAAGCAATGCAATTTCAATAGCTTCAGTAATATATTATAACGAAGTGGCTATATTATAACGAATATATTATAACGAAGTAGAAGTTGTATGGCAGCTACTATTAACCATCAAGGATTTTCAGCTATTTTTATTAAATGTAATTAAATAATAAAACATTTACTTGTGCGAAATTTCAATACTGTAAGTTCTATATTTTCTGAGATCTAGCCAAATAACTTTTGCAGTTTTAGGACAACTGCTCGAACCACTGCCTCGATTATATCCAATGTAAATAGGGTACTGATATAAATTATTTGTAAAAATTTGTCGTGGTTAGCTGAATTAGTTTTTGAGTGTTAATTGGAACGGACTGTCCGTCCGTTAATGTCCGTTTTATGTCGGACGGACAGTCCGACATAAAACATAATATACTTAAGTCTTTATCTCAGACTATTATTTCTTACTATTACAAATGGCAAGGTAAATTTATTAAAAATTTCAATTAATTTATTTTTATTTGATAATATCAAAGAATCAATTTTTTTTTATATAATTTTGCTATTTTAAAAAATCTATAATTAAATTTAATTTATTTTTTTAATATTAAACACATTAATTTAAATGAATAAATTTTTTTTTTTAAATCTTGTGTTTAAGATTGCAGAAACTTTTCACTTGTAATTAAGATGAAAATGTATTTTTTTATTTTGTTTCAAAAAACGTAAATTGTTTTAATTAATTGGAATGAAAGCGCGTTCTTAAAATAAATATAATCAACACATTATACAAACAAGTAAAAACGTTTCAGTATGAACCGGTATGAACCGATTGAATTATACCCTGCACCTTTCGTTGTTGTATAGCAATTACTCAAACCTGTGAAATCATTCTATAGAAACTTCACGGATATGTCTGACCTATAACTGAACATACAACTAATAAGTTTCATGAATCTGACTTTATTATTTTTCCAAATATTTAAAATTAGCTTTTGGAGTTGTATGGCAGGTATCTAAACCTGCCAAGCAATTCCACTAAAACTTCGCTAATATATCTGATCTATAATTGGACACACAACTGCCAAGTTTCATGAATCTAACGTTATTACTTTTCCAAATATTTAAAATAAGCTTTTGGACTTGTACGGGAGCTACTCGAACCTGTCAAGCAATTCCACCAAAACTTCAGAAATATCTTTAACCTATAATTGGAGACACAACTGCCAAGTTTCATGAATTTGACTTTATTATTTTTCCAAATATTTAAAATTAGCTTTTGGAGTTGTATGGCAGGTACCCGAACCTGCCAAGCAATTCCTCCAAAACTTCAAAAACTATCTTTGACCTATAATTGGACACACGACTGCCAAGTTTCAAGAATCTGACTTTATTATTTTGCCGAATATAAAAAATTTGCTTTTGGAGTTGTATGGCAGCCACCCGAACCGATGCAGCTATCTCATTAAAATTTTTAGAGCATATGTAGAATATAATTGGACACATGTATACAAAATTTTATATTTGTACCTTTATTAGTTTTTGAAATATTTAAAATAAACTCTTTGAGTTGTATGGCAGCTACCCGAACCCGTTGTCGGAATTGGTCCAATAACAATAGGGTTCGTCCTTGGCACAAAAGAAGCAACTTGTGAAAGTTTGGTGTCGATTGCATTATTCGTTTTTGACATGTCTAAATCGACGCAGAATTTTACGCTGAGCAAGAATATATATATATGTCCATACCGCAGATGACTCCTTCAAGTAGTTACAAACTCCATACCAAAGTTAATATACCCTTCACGAAGTGCAGGGTATAAAAACACGAAAAATAAAATATTAAATTTTAATTCAAACGAATCACGTTTTGACTATTAAATACAGAAATGAATATATAAATACAATACATATAGTGATTCCAAGAATCACCATCAACCAATAATTCAGCAAGAAGAAGAGAAACAAGAATAAAATATCTCCTTAAACATAACTTTTAATTTATCTCCTTGTACGAAAGTTTTTTTAATGTAAAATAATTATTGTATACATTTTCTCTAATTATATATTCCTTTTTATTTGAAAAATTACCGTCATAATTTAACATTACACTATGTTAACAGTTGTATATATTATCAATATTATTAAAATGTTCACGATATTTTTACTATTTATATTGTGAATAGCATATACACATGAACTAAAGAATAAAAATTTCTCCCAAATGAAAAATTTAATAGAAAAAAAAATTTGATAATTGAAAACACATTGTATTTATGTAAGAGCAAAGAAAATAAAGAATAAATAATATCATTGAAATCAATAAT